AGGCTAGATTGGGTTAGGTTAGGTTAGATTGGGTTAGGTTAGGTTAGGTTAGGTTAGGTTAGGTTAGGTTAGGTTAGGTTAGATAAGAGAAGTATACGATTTTCTATCATGATGAACTTTAAAACTAGGAGACGTCTACTTGCTATTGGACTCCATGCTCAAGCAAAGAAGTGAAAAGTTTAGCGATGAACATGGAGTCCAAGATCTTGGACGGGATGAGCAGGCAAATATATCAAGGGTGAGCATGGAGTCCAATATCATGGACGTGATGCTACATAATCTGTTTATGGGTGATTTCACGATAACAGGAATAGTTAAAATGTGAAATACCTTAAAAATAAAAGTGCACCAATTTTAACAGGATTTCATTACCTCATTTTAAAGGTATTGAACCTCCTTTTTCCAGCTTTGGCACGCTCTATTTTGATTCAGTGCAAAGTTAAAGTGATTGATAAACAAGCCATTGAATCAGGTATCAGCGCTTCCCGCGGGACTGCTGGAGGTCCACGCAAACATGGCGGCCCTGCCAAATTGTGTCGGTTACGTAACAGACGCAGCGTAACCGACACTTGAAAATGTGAGATAAAAGATGATACAAAAGATGAAACTTGGCAATTCTTGAGTTATGAGGTGGAATTGATGCTGCCTTAAAAGTTTTCTAAACTTTGGAGACTTCCTTTTAGTTTAATAATATTAAATTGAGGTTTTTGCGTAGTGAGGAATTAGTGCTACACACCTAAAAATCACTGGTTTTCATAATAATTAAAGTTTTCATTGTAAAAAAAAACTGACTTATCAGTAATGGTTTTGTCGAGAAGACTTCAGCGAACAATTTGATGGCAATTTTGAAACTCTTGACTCCGTCTGGCGAGATAAACACTGCACTCAATACAACTGCAAAAATTTGTTGCCAAATGTGGCGACACCTCTTTCTAATGACTTTTCTCGCTCAATAATAAACATTTCAGTTCAAACTGGCAATTTTCTTGAACATTAGAGTCTCTTTTCAGCAAATATTGCCAAAGAGTTCATGATCAGTACTGATTTGTTACCGCAAATTGCTCTTTTGCTTCAAAATCGGGGTTGGCGACGCGTAACCGACCGGACATTTTCGGCCTTTAAAGTCTCATATTATGAAATATAATAATAATTTATCATATTTTTTAGCATGGATAGGTTCAGGGACATCATTCCTATTGATTTATTCATTTGGTTTTCAATCGCTTTGCCCTATATCGTTCATAACCCACGGCGACACGACTATTCCTCTTATCGTGAAATCACCCTTATATAAATAAACAGGAGAGTGTAAGTAAGAGATCCGGAGCCATGCCTTTGTTATTTGTCACTTAGCTGTAGCCTGAACGCTTACCTATCCACAGATCCAAAATTCCAAAAAGCGCCAGTTGTCCGTGTCGCGTCAGGTCGTACGTCGAGACCCGTATCCGAGTTTTCAAGTTCGATGTTGTGCTCTGTCCTTCCAGGCTGTCATCGCCGTTCCGTTCCGTTTGCATTTATTCTCTTGTTTCTCTTTGCTCCTCTTTGCTTTGCTTTATCAATTCCAAAAGTCTCGTAATCAAGTAAATCAACTAAAATCGATCGAAAAAGATAATGTCTCGAGAGAGTAATCAGCCTTTAGTTGCCATTGCGACGTTGGCTCAGGCAAAAGTTGTACGTATAAATCACTTGAGATATCACAAGAAATTCTCAAAAACCGTCAATATCTTCGTAGAAAACCGAAAAATTGAGTTCGAACTCTCAGGGGGTATACAACTGGTTGAAAATGTTGACTTTGCCATAAAAAATTTCCGAAAAAGACCGAGTGCGAACAGTTATAAATTTCCGAGCCGGAGCGTGTCGCAACGAACGCCCGCCCGGCTCCTCTACATGAACATGACTCCTGCTGTCGTGGCGAACAGTTGTGTATGACATTTTTCTTCTCTTCCTGTTTCTTTCTTCTTTTTTTTTGATGTTTTCGAGTAATTAGTTCTCTCTTGAACACCTTGTGAATAATGTTAAAAGGGTTCAAAGAATTTTAGGCTAATTGCGCACGATGAGAAAATATATTTTTACAATTAGTTCAACATAATTATTAATACAGTAGAAAAAAGTTCTTCATAAGATTTATTCAAAGTCTACGACGATGTGATACAATGTACCTCAACCAAAACCGTTTTATTACATTGTTGCAATATCGCCGCGGAACAGCATACAGCGCATGCCGTGGCGGCCAGTAGCATGGCGTGAAAATCGACTATCGGTATTATCCCAGTTGAAACTATGGTAAAGAATAGATTGTTAAGATGTTCGTTGAGAACACCTCGTAAATCGATCCAGTCCCATGGGTTTAAATGGTAGATCAATCGATATATCGCAAAGCACGCCACGCCACTGGTGGCACCACGGTGTCAATCTACATTTTATAGTTCATCTCCGTTAGAGTAATTGACCCACGAGTTAAGACGGGAGCGAAAAAAAAAGAAAAAAAAGTTAAGACGGAAGAGGGGCCACGTATTGAGCTGTCTTAGTCTGTTACAAAACTGAAACTCTGTCGTGAGGAAATATGTATATAGATCGTGCCATTTTCCTCTTTTAAAATGTATTTCAGGTAAGCAATATCTATAACACCATAATTACTCTCGGTTATCCTCTATTGAAGCATCAACTCTGGTTTGCAACGATGCAATCTAGGAAAATAAGCTCCTTTTCGCAAGGAACCATCGTTATTTGAGTTCGTTTACGGCAGGCGTGGCATACAACTATTTCACCACGGGTGTGAGTATGTTGCAGCTTCGCCGGATTGAAGGCGCCTCAAACTGCGAAGATGTCCTGACCGCCCTGCCAACTCAGGCGGGTGGGACGAACGCTAAAATCGCTGCAACAGCGTGACGATGCGTCATTATTCATGACTCCCTTTTAATTTTCACCGTAAAAAACAAAAGTAACTATCCTAATAGCCACGATTTAGAAGCAGGGACCGTGGTTTTTTTCCGTATTTCTTATGATTTCAATTAAAATCGTTCCTAAAATTATTGTAAATTTTTTAGAGAATCTGTGCGCCGACTTTTAAAAAATATTGATTCCAATTGAAACATTAACTGTCGTTTGCAACGTTGCAATCGAGGTAAACAAACTCATTTTCGCGTGGAGCCATCGATATTTGAGTTCGTTTACGGCAGGCGTGACATACAACTATTTGACCACGGGTGTAAGCATGTTGCAGCTTCGCCGGATTGAAGGCGCGTCAAACTGCGAAGATGTCTTGACCGCCCTGCCAACTCTGGCAGATGGGACGAACGCTTAAATTGCTGCGACACTTAGACGATGCGTCATTATTCATGACTCCCTTTTAGTTTTCACCGTAAAAAGCAAAAATAACTATCCTCAGCTACGATTTAGAAGCAGGGGCCGTGGTTTTTTTCCTGCAAAAAGAAAAAACGGAAAATAGGACTAATAATAATATCGCGACGAAATTTCCTATGATTTCAATTAAAATCGTTTTTAAAATTATTGTAAATTTTTTAGAGAATCTGTGCGCCGACTTTTAAAAAATATTGATTCATATTAGTGTCTTCAATCGTGTTTTAGGTTTGAGCAATTTTATGTTTTTATTGATTGTTCCGAGGGCACGTGTTTAAAAAAAAAAAACTTGCAGTGCAACCGTAAGTGAAGAAAGCGTGAAAAATGGCTAAATCTCTTCGTTTTGACGTTTAAAAAAGAATCCCGAAGATGTCAAGCTCAAATTTGCGTCCAACCCCTCAAATTTAAGATGGCGGCCGAATTGAGGGCTCGGGAGTTGAAAATTTTGGAATTTGCCTTTGATATCGTGCTTGAGGTCTACCTTTATGTAATTTTGGTTAAGGAATCCGAAAAAAATTTCAGTGCTGAACCTAGTAATGCTATCTTCTTTTCCCAATCGATTAAAGATTTTCTACAAAATGGGTGCATGGTACGAGGAAATGGATGCTATTTCCGAATTTGGTAGCCGATGATACAGGGTGACCCAGACCACTGGAGCCAGGATACTTCCGTCGTTATTTTAGGCCGGATGAAATCGAAGACTACGGAGACGATTAGCATATTGACTCCAATTTCAGGGATGTGAATTTCCATCATCCTAAAGCCCACCTTTGGGTCACCTTTGGGGTATGAACAGGAGGCCCTGACTTTGGAAAGTGGGATTCTCGGCACGATTGTAAAATCATTTTATTAAAATCAGAAAGTACACAAATCTTTTAGTTACATCGCCACTGGAAAAAAACACATTGGATCTAGAGTCCAGACTCTTAAAAACATCGACAAGAAAAAGTACTCTTGATTCAATCAGAATCTAGCTTAAATCAAGAACCAATCCTCTTAATTTAAGCGGATTTCGTTTTGATTCGAGCAAAAATCCGATTGAATCAAGAGTATTTTTTCTTGCCAATGTTTTCAAGAGTCTGGACTCTAGATCCAACGTGTTTTTTTCCCATTGCGTACCAAAAATCTAAAATCAGCCTATCTCTGGCCGAAATATTGACTCCGGAATTTGCAAGACACAGCCCCCCTCAATAAATTGCTGGACTAGTTAATTATCGGGGAGGCCCGGGAAAAGACATCATTCATGGGTAATCAACCTGAAGAAATCCCAAAAAAAGGTCTTTTCCCCCTCAACTTCAGCGGTCAATATCATGGACGTAAATTGGCCGATTCCGGAAATATTTGGTATCGATTTGGATAAAAAATTGCCTTACTCCCGTCTGTTAAATCAATTGTAGTAAAATTGTGACGGACGTCAAAGGCAAATTCTAAAATGATCAACCTTCGAGCCCCCATATTGACAGCAAACTTGTATAAAGGGTTTCGACTCAATTTGAGCTTGACAACGTCGATATTCTATTTTCACACTTCGAAACGAAGAGATTGATATATTTTCCACGCTTACCTCACGGTTCCAAGGGAGTACATAATTAAGTACCCGGACTGGATTTTTTATTCATTTGTTTTTTTTTTTTCAACAGACCTATGGATTCCTCGTGTATCCACAAGACGATTCCAGTCCATCAGATGAAGAGTCCAGTCCATCGCCGCACTTACGACCTCTTTTGGTAAGCTAACCTCCAATTTCTTTGACATTACGATGGCTGACCTCGCAAACCTCCCAAGTCTGTTTGTGGCGTCAAAAATTACTTTGCGCGGTTAATTGAGCGCGCTGTCCCACAGCGGGCTCATTGGAATACCTCTCAAGGCGGCCAATGAATCTAGAATTGGACGTATTTCTATCAAACGGAACTATGTGCATTGTGACGTGAGCCCTGTTATGCATTTATTCTTATGGGTCTCAGGGCTCATGTCTTAATCCACATAGTTCCGTTTGATAGAAATACGTCCAATTCTAGATGCTCCTCCCATTGCATCCTGGGATTCCTGCGTTATTTAAAAGCCTCTCTGTGGCGGGAACGTAGTTGAATTTTCGCATCGTGATAACTAACCGTGGAAACCGTCCAGAGTGCTGGTAACTGTTTATTAGAAATGCTAAGGACAAACAAAACCATTATGACCCTTGATGTGCTGCTTAAGCTCTCTAATATTTACGTGGCTACAAATTTGCTCGAAGCAGATAGTTGCTATAATATTTTCAAAGGTTTCGGTGATGTGTAAGCTACGATTTCATGTACTTTTTATAAGAGGGTTTCCGATTGGTTGCCATTTTGGCATGATGAGCGGCAGCGAACGACTGTGTGTCCAGCGACCCATCGATGATTGCTATGACGTCACGAGTCCCTAATCGTTGGGTTCTCCGTGTTCTTATGACGTATTCACATGGTCCAGACGCCGATTCAGATTCAGCGATCCAAAAAATATAAGGTAGGCCAAAAAAATAGCTGTGTCCTCGAAATTCCCGGTAGACTTACCAGGCGCCTGGACTACCATACATACTCCGTATTCTTCGGTTACTTTGTGTCCATGTGTAAATGAAGTGGTAATAAAATGCTATCTCGGCTCCTGTTCCATCGATTTTCGTGAAACTTGGTATCAGTGGGTATTTATTGGCGAGAAATTTGAATTTTTAGTCCTTCTTTCAAAATTCGCAAATCCAAGATGGCAAGTGTGGCCAAAAATGCTATCTCGGCTCCTATTTCCTTGATTTTCGTAAATCTTGGTACCAATTCGTATTTTTCGGTGAAAAACTCGAATTTTCAGTCCAATTTTCAAAATTCGCAAATCCAAGATGACGGATGTGCCCTGAAATGCTATCTCGGCTCCTGCTGATTCATCAATGATCTCGAGTTTTTCTTTTCGGAAAACTTGGTATTAGGGGCTACTTTTCGGTGAGAAACTAAGATTATCTCGGTAAGTTCAAAGATAGTTCTACTTTACGTTTTCAAGTCCCAAAATTTCGAAAAAAGTTCAAAAATATGAAATTTAAGGTGATTGAATTTGACCGTTTTTTTCGTTTTTTTGAACTTTTCTCGAAAATTGAGGAGTTAAAAACGTTATGTAGAACTAATTTTGAACTTACCGAGATAATGTAGAGGCAAAGTTAGGGGAAATTGGCTCATTTCGTGGGAACATCGTATGACCTTTGAACTGACGTATTTGGGGGTCCGAACCCCACCCCCCCTCCCCCTTAGCATTAGTTTGAGGTGATTTCTGCGATTTTTACTTCAAAAAGCTTAGAATTTGATAAATTTTCCAGTACTTTTTGTTCTTTACGATAATTTGAATTGAGGTTGGGATTTTTTGAAAATAGGTCCAATTTGAACTTCGACCTATCATAACTCGGTCAGAAATTAAGATATTGATCTACGATTTGGGCCAAAATTCTTAGTTTTTAATGTTCGTCCCAATAATGTATCACAAGATAGGGGTTACCCATTTGAAAAAAAAAAGTTGGGCCCCCCAACCCCTTGAGAGAGGGCTAAAAGTTTTGACCCCCCCCCCACCCCTAGAAGATGGTCCTCTTTGAGATAAAAACATTCCCAAAGTTTCGTTTTTCTATCCCTAACCGTTCAAAAGTTAGAGGGGGGCGGGACTTTTGAAACACCCTGTATATATTTTGTGTCACGCACGTGTGTTATCCACCAACTACCTTCAACGACTCCCGTCAATTGACGCTGAACGCAACTGACGATTTGCAGCAGGAAAATTTTGGACCCTGTACAATCTATTTCTTGTCTGTTTCCAGTTGGCTGACCATTATCACGATGGATGGCAGCACCCGGGCATCGTGTATAATATCGACGACTCGTTTTGCAAAGTAAGAGACAAGCCAACATTTATCGACAGAACCCGGTTCATCAAACATTTCTACGAGCGAAAAGAGTTAATGGCCATTCATGCTCCGCCTCGTTTCGGCAAGACATCCAACCTAAAGATGCTGGAACTGTTTTTCGACATCCCCGTCGACCCTTACGGAACCCCCGTCCAAAATTACGTCTTGCAAAAACGTGCTTTCTTCGATAATCTTCTGACGTGTAGAGACATGGACAGTTTCTTTTGTATGGATTACATTGCAAGCCACCCCGTAATCTTTTTAGACTTTATGAAGCTTGATACAGAGAACGTGGAGAGCTTTAACGTTTCTCTCCGTATGATGATGAGTGCACTCTTCGAAAGCCACGGTTACCTAGCGAATAGTCCGCTTTTAAGTAGAGAGGAACACGGTATATTCCACAAGGACGCACATCCTTCACTCAAAGAAGACGTGGGTGCCATGGGTGGTCTGATTTTGGCGAGATTACTGCACAAACATCATAATCGTAGTTGTATAGTGCTCATCGACAATTATGACGCTCCAGTCGCCAAAATAATTGTCAAGGGAAACAAAGATGACTCAATGAGCCAAATATTGAAAACACTCACGGACCTGATGAAAGGGCTGTTCAAAGATAACACATTTGTCAGTCACTCCCTCTTAACCGGCATATCCTCCATTGGTAGTGTTTACACTCAAGAGGTGAAGAATCTGAGCCACTACTCGATTTTTGAGAACGCCACACTCAGTAATTTCTATGGTCTTAAGTTCAGGGATGTTGAAGACTTCATGGGGAGATTTGGTAAGCCAGAATGGGTCGATGAGGCTCGGAGAACCTATGAAGGATATCACTCTTTGGCCACAAACGAAAAAATGCTCGCTATTCGTTCTTTCTCCAAATTTATGGAGGAGAGAGGGAAAGTGGATGATTACGAGCCAATACCTATTCTTCCTCAGCTTGAAGAGTTGCTCAAATATGATAAGTTTGGTAAAGTTATTGAAAAGACTCTAGAAACAAATACAACAATAGTTAAAAAACGTCCACCCTTCAGTGAGCAAGATATTAAGAATTTGCATGGTTTGGTCTCAAAGCAGAAAAATGAGCCGGATGAAGCGACTCAGGTGGAGCACCTTATGGTACAGTTCTTGCAGGAAAATGGAATCTACACGATTATTAGTGAAGATTATATTACACACAAAGTTGACATAGTTGTTCCTAATCTGGAAATCAAGAAACTTCTGCAACAGCTTTTATACACGGAGAGCTTCTTTGTCGAAAAGTACCAGTTCACGAGAGAAAAAATGGGGCACTTTGTCGATTCAGTCATCAAACTAAACGACAAAAGAGAGAGTTTCCAGACTATGATATCAGCGATAAGGTCGCTGTTTGAAAAAGTGATTCCAGAAACAGAGTCTGAATTTCGGGCCCCTTTGTATTCTCTTCCGCGGCTGATGGGCAACGAATCGTTTTTGCGAGTGGATAATGAAGTTTTGGGCCCAAATAAAACGACAATAGACACACTGTTGGTCAGAAAAGACAAGACTTTGATAATATTTGAATTCAAATTCGAGCGTGATTCTGCTTCAGCCGCGCTTCTTGATGTCGTGAATAAGAAGAAGTATGAAGTTAAAACCGACGAAAAACCCCGCAATAAGATTTTAGTAGGCCTTCATTTTAGTTCTCGTAGAGATTGCAGCGTAAGTTACCTTTATAATAAGATTAACGCAGAGGAAGCTATAACAATAGAAGAGAAGATGAGATAAGGAATCTGTCTCTTTGAAAATAATGCTGAAACCAAAAATGTATATTGTGTATAAGTATATTTAGTTTTCTCCCCGCAAGTATTAAAATATTATAAAAGGTCTAAATAGGCAAAAAAAAGAAGATCGAGTTATTGAAATCTCAAAATTTCATTAAACCCTCCTCGAAAGTCATATTTATACTTTAGAAGGATGTTTTTGAAGCTACGACCAAAATATAAATGTTTGATCCGTCATAACAATGCTTTCTTTTATTTTTGGACGATTTATTTTGTTACTATTGGTCTTTAAAATTACAACTGGACAATGAGTCTAATGAAAGGATAGTAAGGGCAATTATCAAATTAATTCTCCTATATGTGTAGCGAAACTTTCCGTAACAGACTCATCGTTTCGCTTCCAGGACTTTATGTCCACCTACCTTTCGTCCATTAAATAAATGTCCACCGCTATTTATGTCCACCGCTATTTATGTCCACTAAACGTTAAGTCCAGTTTTTATTAAGTCCACATGATTTAATGTCAACAATGAATAAGTCCGAAATTGTCCAAATTGTGGAAATGTTATGTCCACATTGTTTTCTTCTCATTTAAATGACAGGAACCACCTCAAAAATAAATGCATACTACTACTCCCTTCATTCTTAAAAAAATTTCATTCAGGAATCAAGTCATGAAAGAGTTAGTTAGTTATTATAATTTTGAGACATTCAGCGACTCAGGCTATTAACGTCTTTACAGGTAATTTTGAAAATATATAGGAGTATAAACGAAAATTTAGATTTTTAAATTAAGAGAGGTAAAGAGTTTCAGAATTTTGGTGGCAATATTAGGTTCATCGCATGTAAGAGGGTTTGTATTTCTGTTGAATGAAGGGGAGTAGATCTGTGATTGGTGATGTCGGAGGGAAGAGCAGTCCATAAGTATGTGTTTGATGGTTAGAGGTGATGAATTGCAGAAGTGGCAGGTGGGTTGGTTTTCTTTAGATATGATATGATAGTGAGTGAAAAAAGTGTGACCTATCCTGAGACGCGCAATTTGGACTTCACATGATCTTGATTTGTGGTTAGATGTTCTTGGATATGGCAT